ACACGTGGTAGTTGATGGTTATGTATGACTGAGATGGGGATGGGCGAGATGACAGGTATGGCGGGGCGAGCAGGGAAGATGGGGCGGGCAGGGAGGGGGCTTACTGCAGTAGACGGGGTCGACGACGATTTGAGGGAGGCCGCCACCATTGGGCGAGTCACAGTCTGCACACACACGCAAGGCGATCGTGAGGACCGTGCATGCCCGCACACGCATGGTGATCATCCATGCACGTCTGTGCATGCCCGCACACGCATGGTGATCATCCATGCACGTCTGTGCATGCCCGCACACGCATGGTGATCATCCATGCACGTCCGTGCATGCATGGTGATAGTGCATGACCGTGCATCCAATGCAGGCCGTGATTGGTAAGGGGAAGAGGTGGAGCATGAGAGAAAGTGGATGGGGAAGAGGAAGAATATAGGAAACATAACAGTCACTTCTAAAGAAGTCATGTGCAACTGCATCAATAGACTCGCTCTCATGCGCACTCACTCTCACATGCACACCAACTCGCACGCGCATCAGTCTCACACAAACACTCACTGGTGCCAATGTACGAGAGGTAGCACTGGCCGCCATTCTCCGAGTACTTTGGCTCGTAGTCCTCCGGTGTGCATACTGGTGGAGGGTTGCACACACGGACGGCCAATTGGCTCAACGGAGGAGTATCAAGCAAGGGAACGCTGGGAGCGTATGGTACAAGCAGGAGTGAGCATTACATGGTTCAACGCAAGCTCCACGACCACCGTCATCACGCGCACCACATGATCGTGCGGTCCATGCATGTTCCATGCCACGTGGGTCCTCCTAGCATGGTTTACACGCACAGCATGTGTCCACGCAACGACATGGGTGCTCACCGCATGGTTCGTTGCGCATGGGGATGTCAGGGAATGCGTCGGTGCAGTTGCGCACTTTGACGTAGTTCACTTCGCGCTTGCCGTCTGCCACACATCCCATGCGACATACGATTGGAATTGAAGTTACATGTTGAACGAATTGAAGAAACGAGTCAACGGGATTCACAAGACATGTGAATGGGAAAGAAATATAAATATAATTAAAATTGAAAGACACGTGAGTGCGATAGTAACTGTTGAATAAAAACGAAATCATTGTGTTAGCATTTTTATGGCATTCAAGTGAGTGCAATTGACCACGCGAATACCGTGCGACATGCTGCAAGCCTCATGGCCAGCACGCGAAAGCCATTGATCTCCTAGCCCCACGAGGCCCTCCGTCATTCGCGACACGAGGTTATTGTCCGCCCTTCAAGCACGGGCGCGCGTTTTCTGTTTGCGCAATAGGGCGTCCGCAGTCCACGCCCTGCCCCTCTCCGCGGATCGCATCGTCTCACCTTGGCAGCGCTTCGACATTCTGACGTAATCCGTCAGGCCGCACGTCGTGGGCAGCTCGTCGCCCACCACCGACCCCACCACGCCCACGTCCTCGATGCGCGCACTCGCGTTCGCCGCGGGAGGCGGTTCCGCGAACGGCACCGGCTGATACGGCGGAGGCGACGGCGGAGGCGGAACCTCCGGATCGCCCCACTGCTGATCCGCCGGTGCCTCGCTCGGCCCGCCTGGATTCGCCTGCACGGCGCCCTGCGAAGTTTGGCTGCCCGGCACCGGCTGGTACCCGAGATTTTGCCCGCGCCCTTCCTCCCACGGCAAATTGCCGCCCAGCGGGTCCGAATGGTTGCCGCTTCGCTCCGGGAACGGCAGCCCCCCCTCCATCCATGGCGGCCGCTGACCCGGCTGCCATGGCGTCGGCCGGCCGTCCTGCGGCTGCGGGTATGATGGTGTCGGTTCTGTAGTGACCTGCGCGCGATTGCCGGGTAGACTACAAAGAGTAATAAATAGCGCGAATAGAACACATGCCGGTTTACTTCTAATGAAGCATCGGCGCGTCGCCATCGTCATGCAGAAAATTCAGAAAGAAGTTGCTGGATCCAATCAATACAGCTGGAAAACAGCCCGTATCCCCGTAAACGACGTCTAAACACCAACTGGTGCCAAAATCGCTTTCAGCAAAAGAGCAAACATTAGAGCCAGCTCCTAGGTAAAAGTGGGATCTTGGACCATCTCGCTACAATAACTGGCAATACCGAAACATTGGAGCGAAAAACGAGGAAATGGAATCACGGTGAGAGAAGAATTGGTTGGGATTGACGGAACGGAGGGGATGGAAGGGAGTGATGGGGGCTGGTCAGGTTGGGTAGAAGAAACGACACCGACCAACGGCAGCGCTGATTGCTGCTGCAAGGTGCGGTGGATGTGGTGTGACTCGTTTGAAAGAATCTTGAACGGAATTTCGATGCCGATTGTTACGGGTGCAATGAATCGAAGTAGCGAGAATTGCACTAAGGTGTCAAACGAGTACAAAGATATGAGCGAAGGCATGAACGAACATTTATACGCGAAACATGCAAACGGTAACGCGGTGTGTGCGAGCTAGCTAGTGCTATGCTGGCAGCGAGGCTCGGGCTATTCCCGAAGCGTAGGCCGACACGGCCGGGCCAGCAGTGCAAGGTTTGGCAAAACAGTGCGCGCGAAGTCAGCGAAGTCCCGTTAGCAGTAACGGGCGAACAACGGCTGTTGCTGTACGCGATGTAGTCGGGCTCCGTAAGGAATGCCGAGAAAATTCCTTACACTACCCCCCCCCCCCCTCAAGAAGCCCCCTCCGCTACGCGAGTGCGTGTATATCGCGGAATCCCCGGCTCCTAAGGTACACATGCAGGGCAGGGTGGTTTTCAATGTTGGCCAGGGGCACCCAACTATCTTCAGTTGGCGTGCGGTCCTTCCAGCGAACGAGGAATTCAATCCTCCTGATTCCCGTGGGGTGTCGAATCCGATGGCTCAGGATTTTTTCGGGCTCGATGATCGGCTCCGATGCAGGGCGGGTCATGGATGACGGGCGGTGGCGAGGCAGTTGGCTTGTGGTTGGGATGTATGGGCGAAGCAAGCTGACGTGGAACGAAGGGCTGATGTACCAGTCGGTCGGTAACGGTAGGTGCGCGGTTAGTGGCATGATCATGTGGCTGATTTGGAATGGGCCACAATAGCGCGGTCGACGTTTCCGTGCGTCGGGCAGTCGCAGATTTTGTGTGTCGAGCACTACGTAATCCCCTAACTGGTGTGTGACGGGGCGGCGGTGTCGGTCAGCGTTGCGTTTAGCGATGACGTTTGCTTTTTTAATTGCTTCTGCGGCTCTGGTGCGAGCAGCTTGCAGAATTTCATCGAATTGCTGTGCGCGTGGTGTTGGGTTGTCCGGACTCGGCGTCATGGGCACTGTAAGATTTTGCCCGTAGTTCAGGTAGAAGGGGGACTGCTATGTAGTCGCTGACGTGGCGTTGTTGTATGCGAACTCGATCAGCGGCAGCTGATGCTCCCAAGCCGTAGGGTCGTCGCACGTGGCACGAATCAACTGCTCCATCGTCTGATTCGTCCGCTCCGTTTGACCGTCGGTCTCGGGGTGGTACGACGAAATGAACTGTAGCCTGGTCCCGAACTGCTCCCAGAGGTTCTTCCAGAAGTTGCTGGTGAACTTCGTGTCCCTGTCGCTGATAATCGCTGCTGGTATCCCTTGCAGGCGAACAACGGCTGCGATGAACAGACGAGCGGTCTCCTCGGCTGAGATCGACTTTTTGCACGCAGCGAAGGGTGCCATCTTCGTCAACCTGTCAACGATGACCATCACCGCGTCGTTACCCCCAGGGTTCGAAGGTAACCCTGTGACGAAATCCATGGTAACCTGCTGCCAGGCGCGCTCGGGCGGTGGTATCGGCTGCAATTGACCCGCCTTCCTCTTCCTCGAGCTCTTCATCACCTGACACGTGGGGCACGATGTCAAAACATTATAGCTTATATATATTTGTGTAGGCTATAGTGGGGTATCCCATAGGGGGTACAACCCAATCAGGGTTTCCTATATGTACTCACTTCATTCATAGTTGATTCATTCTCGTTCTAGTTTTCTCATGGTATCGAGCAGGTTCCCCCGTGGGAACCGTGCTTAGGGCCCACCACATCGAACTTTTTTTTCTGCCCGTAGCGCGCTCCGGGCCCTCTCTCTTACTTTTTCGATCTGCCCTAACGGCCCCTAGACGCCCGCGCGCCGCCCTTAGACGCCCGCGCGCCGCCAGTCCCGGCCCCTAGACGCCCGCGCGCCGCCCTAAGACGCCCGCGCGCCGCCCTAAGACGCTCGCGCGCCGCCCGTCCCGGCCCCTAGACACCCGCGCGCCGCCCGTCCAGGCCCCACGCCGCCCGCGCGCTTCCCTCAGAGCCCGCGCGCCGCCCGTCCAGGCCCCACGCCGCCCGCGCGCTGCCCTTAGAGCCCGCGCGCCGCCCGTCCAGGCCCCACGCCGCCCGTCCAGGCCCCACGCCGCCCACGCGCTGCCCTTAGAGCCCGCGCGCCGCCCGTCTCGGCCCCCTAGACGCCCGCGCGCTGCCCGTCAGGCCCCACGCCGCCGTCGCGCCACCCTTAGGCGCCGGTACGCCACCCGTCCCGGCCCGTCGACGCCGTGCGCCGCCCGATCCGGCCCCACGCCACCCGTGCGCCACCCGTCCCGGCCGCGCGCAGCCGTCCCGGCCCCTCGTCGCCCGTGCGCAGCCCGTCCCGGCCCCGCTCCCAGCCGCCCGTGCGCCACCCGTCCCAGCCGTGCGACGCCGTCCCGGCCCCACGCCGCCCGTACGCCACTGTGACACCCAGCCGCCCGAGCCGCCCGTGCCACCTGCGCCACCCGAGCCGCCCGAGCCGCCTGCGCAGCTGAGGAGCCGAGCCGCCCGAGCCGCCTGTGCCGCTGACCGCCTGAGCCGCCCGAGCCGCCCGAGCCGCCCGAGCCGCCTGCGCCGCCCGAGCCGCCCGAGCCACCTGAGGAGCCGAGCCGCTGGTCCCGAGGTACTGCTGTTGCTGCTGGGCCGGCCGAGCTGCCGTTTTGCTGTGCTGCTGAGCTGCCCGACCCGTCCTGTCTAGTGAGACCGCCGACTGCAGTCATGGCTACCCCTAGTGTCCTAGCTTTTGACGCTGAGGGTCGTGCCATTGACTTTGAGGTCTGGGTCGACGACCTGCAGCTGTTCTTGCAGTGCGATAGGGTAGACGACCTTTCTCTCTTTGACCTTACCTCTGGCGCCGTCCCTGCCCCTGCTGCTGATGCTGACCCCACTGTTCGCTCCAAGTGGGCCACACACGATGCTGCTGCACGTCTTGCTGTGCGTCGCCACCTGCCTACCGCTGAGCGCGCGCACTTTAGTCAGTACAAGAGTGCTCAGACCTTGTACGACGCTGTAGTTGCGCGCTACTCCTCCCCTGCCACTGCTGCACTGAGCCGCCTCATGCTACCCTTCCTCTTCCCTGACCTTGCTGCCTTTCCCACAGTCGCTGACCTCATTACGCACCTCCGCTCTAGTGACACTCGCTACCGCGCTGCGCTTCCTGCTGACTTCTGCGCCAAGAACCCCCCCCCCATGTACATCACTCTCTATTTCATAGTCACTCGTCTCCCTGACTCCCTTCATGTAATCAGGGACCACTTCCTCTCAGTCTGTCCCACCACACTCACTGTAGACCTCCTCGAGAAGTCCCTCTTAGCGGCAGAGAAGAGCATTGTCGCTGTAGGGGCCTCTCGTGGTGACCCTCGCACCCCCATCTTTGAGGGGTGTTCTCCTTCCCCCCTGCTGCCCTCTGTCGCCTCTGCTGCTGCGGCCGACCTTGTTGGTCTAGAGTCGGTCGGTGCGGCGTCTGCCCCTAGCGGGAGACGCCGCCCTGGCAAGGGCAAGGGGGGCAAGGGCGCGGGTGGAGCTAGCGGGGGCGGTGGCAGTGGAGGTGGGGGCGGCGGGGGGAGTGGGGGTGGCGGTGGAGGTGGTGGCGGGGGTGGGGGTGCTAGTGGCGGCAGTGGAGGCGGGGGTGGCGGCGGCGGTGGCGGTGGGAGCGGAGGTGGCGGAGGTGGTGGCGGTGGAGGCGGAGGCGGGGGTGGCGGTGGTGGAGGTGGTCGGAGTGGCGCTTCGCAGCGGAGCAGCACTGGGGGTGGTCAGCGCCAGCAGCAGCAGCGTTCTCGCGACGTCCCCACCCCTCAGCAGCTCCGTGAGTGGTACACGCAGCGTCAGCGTGGTGGGGGTTTTGGTCCCTGCACCTACGTCCTTCGCACTGGCGACCGCGCTGGAGAGCAGTGTGGGGGTACCCACACTGCCCAGCGCTGCTTTGGCCGCCTGACGGTCGCTTGGCGCCAGCAGTTCCCGGAGGCCGCGGAGATCCCCCGCTGGGGAGAGCTGTCTAGGGCTGGTGTAGCTATCTTTGATCTTGAGTTTGATGCTATCCTTGCTGCCATGTATGCTGTGACTATTAGTGATGAGGGTGACTGTTGCCGGTGTTTCCCGCCCGACCCGGGCATTGGTACTACTGCTCTAGGTGCTGGTGAGGCTACTGCTCTAGGTGCCAGTGCGTCTGTGCTCTCAGGTACTGGTGAGTCTGCACTCTCAGGTACTAGTGAGTCTGCGCTCTCAGGTACTACGTCGGCTTCGGCCTCCCACACCTTCACCCTTGACTCTGGGGCGTCTCGCTCCTTCTTTCGGGACCGCACCACACTCACGCCGCTTAGTCGGCCGGTTGCGGTGTCCCTGGCTGACCCCTCTTGGGAACCTGTCCTGTCTCGCTTCTCCACAGTCCTCCCGTGTCCAGCGGCTCCCTCTGGCACCCTGTCTGGTCTCTACCTCCCCTCGTTCTCTACGAACCTGGTGAGTGGTGCTGACCTACAGGATGCGGGTGTCCACCAGTTCACTCCTGCTCGTCAGCGGGTGACGCACTGCACAGAGGCTAGCATAGGTCGCCACGTGGCTACGTTTACACGTCAGCCAGGGTCGAGCCTGTACACACTGACCACTGCTTCTCCTCCAGTTCCTGAGTCTGGTAGGGTCCCTTTGTCTGGTCAGGTGTTTGCTGCAGCGTCCAGGTCTGGTCCTGAGTCTGCCCCCTGTTCGTGTCGTCGCCTGTCTCACGAGACTCTCCTCTGGCACTACCGCCTTGGTCACCCCTCTCTGCTTCGGCTCAGAGGCATGGCCTCCCGTCTTCTTGTGTCTGGTCTCCCCCGGTCCCTCCCTCCCCTTCCTCAGGGCCCTGGCCCTGCCTGTGTCCCCTGTGACCCCTGTGTCGAGGGGCGCCAGCGTGCTGCCCCTCACTCCTCCCAGTTTCCTCCGACAGAGGCTCCGTTGCAGACGCTTCACATGGACGTGTGAGGCCCTGCCCGCGTCCGTGGACTAGGTCACGAGCGCTACTTCCTGTTGGTGGTTGACGACTACTCGCGTTACACCACAGTCTTCCCCTTGCGCAGCAAGGGTGATGTCACTGAGGTGCTGATCGACTGGATCCGCGCAGCTCGTCTCCAGCTCAGGCAGAGCTTTGGCTTGGACTTTCCTGTTTTGCGTCTGCACTCGGACAGAGGCGGAGAGTTCTCCTCTGGCCTTCTGCGTGCCTACTGTCGTGCGCGAGGCATCCGTCAGACCTTCACGCTTCCGGGCTCACCGCAGCAAAATGGGATTGCAGAGCGCCGCACTGGCATGGTCATGGACGTCACTCGTACGTCTATGATGCATGCGGCTGCCCCCCATTTTCTGTGGCCGTTTGCGGTCAGGTACGCGGCGCATCAGATCAACCTCCACCCCAGGGTCTCCAGGCCGGAGACCTCCCCAGCCCTGATGTGGACGGGGAAGGTTGGCGATGCGTCGGCGTTCCGTGTCTGGGGATCTCGGGCGTTTGTCCGCGACTTGTCTGCGGACAAGCTGTCCCCTCGCGCTGCTCCCTGCGTCTTCCTGGGGTTCCCCCCCGACGCCCCTGGGTGGCAGTTCTACCACCCCACCTCTCGCCGTGTTCTGTCCTCCCAGGACGTCACGTTCAACGAGTCGGTACCCTACTACCGCCTCTTCCCCTACCGCACTCCGTCCCTCCCCCCACCCCCGCTCTTCTTGGTACCAGGTCCCCCCCCGGTAGACCCCCTTCCCCCTCAGGGTCCTGCCCCTTCAGGTGTGTCCCAGGTAGACGCGGTCGAGCCTGTCGAGGTCACTGGTGACTCTGGTGCTGCTGTGGGTGCTGAGCCTAGGGGTGCTGTGACTAGGGGTGCTAAGCCTGGGGGTGCTGAGCCTGGGGGTGCTGAGCCTGGGGGTGCTGAGACTGGAGGTGCTACGCCTGGGGGTGCTGAGACTGGAGGTGCTACGCCTGGAGGTGCTTTGCCTGGGGGTGCTGAGCCTGGAGGTTCTCCGGGTGCTTCGTCTCGCCAAACCCCTCTCCCCACAGGAGCTGCGTGAGTGGTTTGCCCGGCGCTGGAGGCGTGCTGCTGGTGCTGGAGGTTCTTCGGCTGCTGAGGGTGCTGCTGCCGCGGGTCCCGGAGGTGCTCGTACTGGGAGTACTGGAGCTGCTGGGCCTGCGGGTTCGACTGGAGCTGGTGCTGCTGAGGGTGTTGGCACTGAGACTACCACTGGCGGTCCGATTGGTGGTGCTCCTGGTGCTGCTGGAGGTTCTGGGGCTGCAGGAGGTGCTGCTGGGGGTTCTGGAGCTACTGGAGGTGCTGCAGGAGGTGCTGCTGGAGCGGGTACTCCTGCTGGGGGTAGAGGTGCTGTCCTTGCTGTTTCTAGCGTCGCCACGCGGCCCTGACCGTACTTCGTTCCACTCCTGCAGCAGGTTCTTGGTCTTACACCTTCTTCTGGTCCTCCTCCTCCTCCCTTAGAGGGTCCACAGCCTGTCCAATCACAGTCACAGCTACAGCCTGCCTCCCCTTTGCCTGCTCCTTCTCCCTACGCTGGTCTGACTCGAGGTCTTACTGAGCGTCGTGAGCCTGCGTCTCGTCATGCGTCGCCTGTTCGTGCTGCGCGCACTAGTGGTCACGGTTCGCGTCAGCGTCCTCCTCCTGTCCCTGGCACGCACCGGATGTCTCTGCGTCCGTCTACTGCTCCTCTGCGTGCCCCTTTGCCTTCTCCTCCTGCTTCCTCTCTTCTTGCTCTTGCCGACCCGGAGTCGGACTCTCTTCGTGCTGCCAGTCCTACTGTCACGCGTCTCCTTGCTACTGCCGTCACTGACCATTCTTTCGAGTCTACTGCTGCGTCTGCCCTTGTTACTGAGCTCGTCGACTTGGCTGCTCGCTGTCGTCTAGACTACGCTGCTAGTCTTGTCGCTGAGTCTGAGTCTGCCTGTCCTCTGTCCGTCGGGGGTGAGCGTGCCCTTGGCACGGACGTCCTTGAGGACAGGCAGGAGGAGATCCAGTGTCGGGCCGCCGCTTCACCTCATCTCGTGTCCGTACTGCTCACCCCTGAGGGAGACCCGGATGCACTTGACATCCCGACTCCGCACTCTTATGCGGAGGCGATAGAGGGTCCCTACTCCTCTCAGTGGCAGGCAGCTATGGATGCAGAGATGGCTTCCTGGAAGTCCACAGGCACCTACGTTGACGCTGTCCCCCCTCCTGGGGTGAACATCGTCAGTGGCATGTGGATCTTCAGGGTGAAGCGGCCGCCGGGTTCTCCGCCTGTCTTCAAGGCGCGTTACGTGGCTTGTGGCTTCAGTCAGCGGCAGGGAGTTGACTACTTTCAGACCTTCTCCCCCACCCCGAAGATGACCACTCTTCGGGTACTGCTGCACGTTGCTGCTCACCGTGACTACGAGCTGCACTCTCTCGACTTCAGCACTTCTTTCTTGCAGGGCAGCCTGCAGGAGGAGATCTGGCTGCGCCGCCCACCTGGCTTCACTGGGTCTTTCCCTCCTGGTACCCAGTGGAGTCTCCGGCGTTTAGTCTACGGTCTCCGCCAGGCGCCGCGTGAGTGGCACGACACACTGAGGACTACGCTGGCGGCACTTGGGTTTGCTCCTTCCACTGCAGACCCGTCGCTGTTTCTGCGCACCGACACCTCTCTGCCGCCGTTCTACATCCTCGTGTACGTCGACAACTTGGTCTTTGCCACAGCTGACACTGCTGGACTAGCCTACGTGAAGTCCGAGCTGCAGAAGAGACACACGTGCACTGACCTGGGTGAACTGCGCAGCTACCTTGGCTTGCAGATCACCCGTGACAGAGCACGCCGCACCATTACCCTGACTCAGTCACACATGGTGCAGCAGGTCCTTCAGCGCTTCGGCTTCACGTACTCCTCGCCTCAGGCCACTCCTCTGCCTACTCGCCACTCGCTCTCAGCTCTGCCTTTGGATGAGTCCGTAGAGTCAAGTGGCCCGTATCCAGAGCTTGTTGGCTGCCTCATGTACCTGATGACCTGCACTCGACCTGACCTTGCATACCCTCTTAGCATTCTCGCACGCTATGTTGCTCCTGGGAGACACCGACCAAAGCACATGGCTGCAGCGAAGAGGGTGTTTTGTGCTACTTGTGCAGTACGTCGGGCATGGGGCTAGTGCTTGGAGGGCGGAGTCCAGTGGTCCTCACTGGGCATGCGGACGCTTCTTGGGCCGACGACCAGGCTACGCAACGGTCGTCACAGGGTTACACCTTCAGTCTTGGTTCCGGCTCTGTTTCGTGGCGGGCTACCCGCTCGTCTTCTGTTCTCGGCTCCAGTTGTGAGGCTGAGATCTACGCCGGGGCTATGGCTGCCCAGGAGCTTCGCTGGCTCACCTACCTGCTGACCGACCTTGGAGAGCCGCCTCGTTCTCCTCCAGTCCTGTACGTAGACAACAAGGCCATGCTGGCCTTATGTCGAGAGCAGCGACATGAGCACAGGACAAAGCACATTGCTCTCCGCTACTTTCTTGCTCGTGAGCTACAGCAGCGTGGACAGTTGCGGCTTGCGTACGTGGCCTCTGAGGCCAACACTGCTGATGTCTTCACCAAGGCACTTGCGCCTTGTGATCATCAGCGCTTCTGCACGCAGCTGGGTCTTGTGCCTGTCTTGCCTCACTTGCTCACTTCTTGACCTTGCTTGTACTTTCACATATATATACTCTTGCTCTTGCTTGCTTAGACTCTTGTATATCTATATATGTGATCTTGCATGTGAACTGGCCTTATGGCCTTTGAACTTGTGCTCGGAATGTGTGGTGACTTTGTGATCCACCCTGAGCTTTGCTTTGCTTTGCTTGACTGGTCTTGTGACCCCTTGTTCTCCCCCAATTTGCCTATGGGGGTGTGTCAGAACATTATAGCTTACATATATTTGTGTAGGCTATAGTGGGGTATCCCATAGGGGGTACAACCCAATCAGGGTTTCCTATATGTACTCACTTCATTCATAGTTGATTCATTCTCGTTCTAGTTTTCTCACACGAGCCCACGTGCTACTGCACGTCGGTCAACAGCTCCGGCCAGTAGTAATACCGCTGCAGTTGCTGTCGCGTTTTTTCGACCCCAAAATGTCCCGAGGTAATTCCGTCGTGTTCCTCCTGCAGTAGCAACTCCCTCAGTAGTGAGTATGCGGGTACCCAGATGCGGTTGGTGCCTGTTTTACGTAATAAACTCCTCCAGCTTCTGCCAGTTGCTGTGAATTTTCGGTCGTGAAAAACGGGTCTGTGCGGTATCCGTGGGTGAATAGGCCTGTTAACAACGGGTTGGTTTGAGCGAGTAGGATGGCATGGAGCTGGGCGGTGGGGCGAGTGAGTGCGTCGGCGATGTTGGAGGCGCCTTTCTTGTACATAACCGTGTAGTGGAAGTTGGACTCGAGGTAGTCCAACCAGCAAATCTGTCGCGGGTTGAGATTTGGTTGGGCACGTAGGTACTGTAGTGATCGGTGGTCTGTTCGTACTGTCACGTCGGCGCCAGTCAGGTAACACCGCCAAACCTTGAACGCATGCACGATCGCCAACATTTCGCGGTCGTGTATCGGTTTGTTGCGTTCGGGCGGGTGCAGCTTGCGGGACTAGTACGCGATTGGCTGGAGGCCGTTCCCGAAATCCTGCAACAGTACTGCTCCCACAACGATGTCACTTGCGTCAGTGACGAGCTCAAACGGACGGTGTGGATCTGCGATGTGAAGCACGGGCGGTGAGCACAAAATGTTTTTGAGGGCCGAGAAGGCAGCTTGCTCTTTCTCCCCCCACGTGTAGTCGGCCCCCTTCCTCAGCAGGTCTGTCAGCGGGGCAGTGAGCTTCGCCATGTCGGGGACGAACCGGCGCACGTAGTTGATGAACCCCAACAAACTCTGCAACTCGGTCAAGTTGGTCGGCGCGTGCCATGCTTGAATCGTCGCAATTTTCTTCGGGTCTATTTCCACTCCTGCAGCTGAAATAACGTGTCCCAAAAATTCCAGGCGGTCCTATAAAAACTCACACTTAGACGCTTTTGTCAGTAGGCGGTTCTCACTCAGTATTTTAAAAACTGCTTCGATGTCCTGTAAGTGTTGTGCTCTGTCAGGGCTGTAAATCAGTATGTCGTCCAGGTATACGATGACGCACTTATCTAAGAGTGGGCGGAAAGCTTCGTTCATGGTCATTTGAAAAGTGGCGGGGGCGTTGGTCAGTCAGAAGGGCATGGCGGTGTATTCGAAGGATCCGTAGCGTGTTCGGAATGCGGTCTTAGGGCTGTCGAGCGGATTGACGCGAATCTGGTGGTAACCCCATCGGAGGTCGATTTTCGAGAAAACCCGAGCTGTGCGCAGTTGGTCGATCAGTTCGTCGGCTCGCGGGATGGGGTAACGGGATTTGATGGTAACCCTGTTCAGTGCTCTGTAATCTATGCACATGCGAAATCCCTTGTCTTTTTTCAGTGTGAACAGTATCGGTGCGGCGAAGGGCGACGAACTATGGCAAATGAATTCCTTCTCGAGCAAGTAATCGAGCTGCTTCCTCAGTTCGTCCAGTTCGGGCTGGGTCAGTCGGAACTGTCGCTGTACTGTTGGCTGTGCCCCCGGTTCTAACTCTATCCTGTGGTCGTGCGGTCGCTGAGGTGGCAGTCCTGTCGGTAAATGGTCCGGGAAAATGTCGCTGTACTGCTTCGACAGTGCTGCCAGATCACTCGGTACGTCGGCCAGCAGTTCTGTAAATCCCCTCCTTTGTCTGCTGCCTCGGCTTCCCGAATGTCGACCGCGTACACGTCAGCTCCTGCCGCTACAGCGCGTTTCATCGTGATCGCGCTGACACGCACTGACGAAGACTCAGGCGAGCCCCAGCGAGGTAAGGCGATGTTGTTACCGTTCACCTCGCACGGTGCAGTCACCCGTCGTCCAGTCGATTCGCGGATTGTGTCGTCGCAGCCAATCACGCGCGAGTAAAATATCGGTTCCGTCGAGGGTCGTTGCAAGCATTTCCTGGCTAAACGTGAAGTTACTCCCACATCGAATCCGAACCCGGTCTATGCGTTCCCGTATTGCCAGTGGCGTGCCGTCTACCAGTCTTGCGTCGATCTCAGGTAAACATCTATCCAGTGGTAGTCGCAGTTTTCGTGCTGTAGCAGTGTTGATGAGGCTGTGGCTGGCTCCCCCGTCTACGAAGATTTTTACTAAGTCCGTCCCGATTTTCCCACTAAGCAGTATGGGGCTGTCTACCGTGGTACCCTCCTTATTCGGCCGGGTGTGGTCGATTGCGTGAACCGGCACTATCACTCGGTGAGGGTCAGTTGGGTTGGGCGAGCGGCGTGACCTGTCAGTAGAGGGCCCGTCTGCTACTGACTCCCAGCGTTTCCCTGCTGCTTGGTCTGTTTCTGCTGCTCAGCTTCCCCCTTTCCCATAGCGTTTTCTAGGCATTCGCTCTTGCGATGTCCCGGCCGATTGCACACAAAGCAGCGCCCTTTGAACGGTGCGACAGCGGCATTTGCGGCGACGGCACGTATCGTGGCGCCCTCGTTCGTCCCGCGAGGCCGATGTCCCCAATGGCAGCTTCCGTAGGACCCCGGTCTCGGTGGGCAGAAGAAATCCAGTTTCTCCGCCATAGCGAGAATTTCTTGAAAATTGGTGACGCCGCGAAGCTGGATTTCCTTAGTGATGTCCTGCTTCAGGCCGCCGATGTAGCGGTCGATGCGCTCGCTCTCGTGCATATATCCCACCTGCTCGCATAGCGCCAGAAATCCGCTCGTGTAGTCTTGGACGGAACCGACTTGGCGCCAAGTGCGGAGCTTCTGTCGCGCCGCGATCGAAGCCGCGATTGGCTCGAAACGAGCGCGCAGACCAGCGCACCACGCGTCCCACGTGCGATACTGGGGCACCTCTACGGGTCCGGTTTGTCCTTCCCGTGTCGGTGGAGTCGCGTAGTCCACCGGCTTCGTGACGATGACGCGCCACCAGTCCATGGCGGGTCCTCGCAGCAACGACACGGCGTAAAGAATCTTCGCCGTATCCTCCGAGACGTAGTTCGCATCGAAGAAAACGTTAAACGTGAAGAGCCACGCCTTGTTGAGAATAGAACGAGAATGAATGAACTATGAATGAAGTGAGTACAAATAGGAAACCCTAACTGGGTTGTACCCCCTATGGGATACCCCACTACAGCCTACACAATAGTATAAGCTATATATATGTTCTGACACACCCCCATAGGCAAAGTGGGGGAGAATAAGGGGTCACAAGACCAGTCAAGCAAGACAAAGCAAAGCTAAGGGTGGATCACAAAGTCACCACACAGTCCGAGAACAAGAGCAAGGCCAAAGGCAAGTTCACATGCAAGAGTACAGACATATATATAAAGCTAGACAAGCAAGAGCAGGTATATATATGTCACAGTACAAGTAAAGTCAAGAGGAGAGCAAGTGAGGTAAGACAGGCACAAGACCCAGCTGGGTGCAGAAGCGCTGATGGTCACAAGGCGCAAGTGCCTTGGTGAACACATCAGCAGTGTTGGCCTCAGAGGCCACGTACGCAAGCCGCAACTGTCCACGCTGCTGTAGCTCACGAGCAAGGAAGTAGCGAAGAGCAATGTGCTTCGTTCTGTGCTCCAGACGCTGCTCTCGACACAAGGCCAGCATGGCCTTGTTGTCTACGTACAGCACTGGAGGAGAACGAGGCGGCTCTCCAAGGTCAGTCAGCAGATAGGTGAGCCAGCGAAGCTCCTGTGCAGCCATGGCCCCTGCGTAGATCTCAGCCTCACAACTGGAGCTGAGAACCGAAGACAAACGAGTAGCCCGCCACGAGACAGAGCCGGAACCAAGGCTGAAGGTGTAGCCCTGTGACGACCGCTGCGTAGCCTGGTCGTCAGCCCAAGAAGCGTCCGCGTGACCTGTAAGGACCACTGGACTCCGCCCTCCAAGCACTAGCCCCATGCCCGACGTACTGCACAGGTAGCGCAATACCCTCTTCGCTGCAGCCATGTGCTCTGGTCGGTGTCTCCCAGGAGGAACATAGCGTGCAAGAATGCTAAGAGGGTATGCAAGGTCAAGTCGTGTGCAGGTCATCAGGTACATGAGGCAGCCAACAAGCTCTGGGTACGGGCCACTCGACTCTACGGACTCATCCGAAGGCAGAGCTGAGAGCGAGTGG